GCACCCTCCCTTAGACAGGAAAACAGGTAGAGCGCGCCACTCCCGTACCCCTGTTCGGCGTTCCGTACCCCCGTTCGGCGTTCACCGTTCATGGGGTTCGTGAACGAAAGCCGGTCACACTGTAGTTCATGGCATTCACGGTGAGTGGGAAGGTTTTTTTTTTTTTCTGGGCTGGGCGGGATGTTTTTTTTTCTTTGTGCAGGTGTGTTGCAGGTGTTTTTTTTTTATTATGAAAAACATAAATAAATTTTCGCCTGTGTGAGGGTGCCATTCGTTGGCTTTGGGCCCCTTGGGGCTGTGTAGTGCATGTGGGCCATGTCCAGGGTGTGGCTTTGGGGCAGTGTGGGGCCTGTGGGCCACGTCCAGGGTGTTGTTTCGACTTCAAAAAAGAAAAAAAAAACAGGAGGCACCCCCCCATGCCGTTATGGAATCAAAATCCCAATGAAAAGGAAAAAAAAAAGGGGTCCTGTTCTCGCGGTTGGCCGTTGCCAGCCAGTGGAAATTGGGTTGCTTGTGAAGTTGTGAAATAAAGCACCATGCGCCCTGTTACCCTGTATCATTCGCGCAAATGTGTGTGTGTGTGTGTGTGTGTGTGTGTGAGAGAGAGAGAGAGAGAGAGAGAGAGAGAGAGAGAGAGAGAGAGAGAGAGGTTTTGGGAGATACAGAGAGAGAGAGAGAGAGAGAGAGAGAGAGAGAGTTTATGTGAGACACAGAGAGAGAGAGAGAGAGAGAGAGAGAGAGAGAGAGAGAGAGAGAGACATGGATGGGGTAGCTGCTATCAGTGCTTGACACCCGCGGCATAGGCCGTGGGCAATTCGGCTGCCGCGGCCGCGGCCAATGAGGCCCTGTCCGCGGCCTGTTTTTTTAATATTTTTTTATACCCTTAAAAATACGTAAAAAAAACAAACCAATAAGGTTGTAGGGCTTGTAAAACCCTACAATCCTACATTTTTTATTTTGGAATCCGACCTCGTTTAGGATTTAAAAAAAATGAAAAACAAAAATCGATTTAAACAAATTATTTAAAAATAATAATAAAAAGAAAAGCAGGAATTTTTTTTTGTCATTTTTTTCATGAGGGACATGGTCGCTGACTTGTCCTGTATTTTTTGAGAAATGTTTTTCGGGTTTGTGTCGGGAAAATGGGTGTTCAAAAAAAAAAAAAGGATGCAAAAAGTGAAAACAAATAAAGGAAAGGGGTCGCGCTGGGGTTGGTGCGTGTGTGTGTGTGTGTGTGTGTGTGTGTGTGAATGTCTGTGTGTGTGTGTTGGTGTGTGTGTGTTGGTGTGTGTGTGTTGGTGTGAGAGAGAGAGAGAGAAAGAGAGAGAGCCAATCAATCAATCAATCAATCAAATCAATCAATCAACCAAACAAATCAATGAAACCAATCTTGATTGGTTTGGTTGATTGATTGATTGATTTGTTTGATTTGATTGATTGATTAATTGATTGATTGATTGATTGTGTGTGTGTGTGTGTGTGTGTGTGTGTGTGTGTGTGTGTGTGTGTGAGAGAGAGAGAG